AGTCTGAAAGTGGCAGGTCGTGGGACGATGGGGGGGGGGGCAAAGCTGAAAAAGTGTGCGACAGGACTACATCGAGCGATTTGGCTGCGAGCCGCCAGAAGACAAGGCTCGGGCAGTGGGCGCTTGGACCCTTTATATGGGGGGTAAGCCCTGTTTGTTGTATCAGTCATTTCCCACAGCCCTGAAACCCAAGTAGCGAGGGGGATAGTCCCTCCCAAAACTACAGTTGCCAAAAACGAATCGACCCTTTGACCGTTTGGTCCTTCCTTGTTGGTCAATTGTTCGGCATGAGTTTCAAAAGGTTCACTGTTTTTTGAGTCCTTTGAGTAACTGAGACTAGCTGCAGGGATCCGCTCGTTTGATTCCTTCCAGGGTTTTGGGGACACCATTTTGACACCAGGTTTTGGGTGTGACTCAGCCATTCCTACACTCACGTTGCCGAGAAGGCTGACTGCGGTGTCCTGGGAGACGATGACTGTCTACACGGATCCTCTGGGTTTCATGCTGGTGGTAAGGCCCCACACGGACTACAACCCTCAATCAAGCGACTCGCGCAGGGAAAGTCCCCGCCTCGTGTCGTTTTGGCGTCCGTGTTTCTTTTTGCGGGGTTCGGATTCGGAAGTCAGATGCCGTCGCCGAGAGCTTAAATTCGGTGTACTTGATGCTTGTGAACGCTGGATGTTTCTTGGCATCTTGGCATCCAAGTTTCCTTCCCAGGGGCTCCCTCAGTTCCACAGTGGCCTCCCGTGTCGCTGCCCCATGTCCCTCACTCAAGCGTGAGGGCCTCAATGGCCAGGTGCGTCGGTGCAATTTTGCCGCCTGAACCAATCAACCGTTCGGGAGAGAGATCTGGGCGTGGGCTGTCGGCTCCCTACAATCCTGCCGCCTTTCCCCCAAAAAAGGAGTTGGGGTTGCAACACCAAGCAGTGGCCTTTGAGTCGTTTTCTGGACCGCTGCGAGTCCCAACCTGCCACAATTTCCCTCCCAAGGTCCTCCCGAAGCTTCCCCCCGGCGTCCGAAGTGCAAAGGCGACTTGTGTATCCTGAGCTGCGGATGGACGAACAACTTTTGAAACCATGGTTGAAACATGTTGAAACCATTGTTTGTTAGTATTTACAGGGGAGTCATCATATCACCTGCTGGTTTTTGCCTGAAAGAAAACCCAGGCCTTGTTTTGGCCATGCGTTTCTGGCGGGGGGGGTCCGTGCGGTCGATGCGGTGGATGGACGAAATCCTGCACCCCCTAAGAAACCCTGGAATGATGATCCCCCTGAAACTACCAACAAACAATGATTTACCATGGTTTCAAAGTGGTGCGAAATGGATGTCGTCCATCCACAGTATGTCCCCTTTTCAGGTGGCTGCTTACATCGCATTGCAATGGAGTTTCCTCCTTGTCCGCAGGTTCGGTCAACAATTCAAGTCTCTGGTCCATTTGGGGGGACACATGGCTGGAGCTAAATTTTCAATCCACAACCAGACTCCCCACTCCAAATACCAACTTTTTTCTTCTACTCCGGTATTTGGAGTAAGTAGGAGGAACCCCCAAACCCCCAAACCCCCAAACCCCCAAACCCCCAAACCCCCAAACCCCCAAACCCCCAAACCCCCCAACCCCCACGTCATTTGTGGTTCTCCCGCATTGCTTGCCGTTGAAATGGCAAGCCGGTGGCTCACATGCCAGCTGCGGCCACGGAACGCGGCAAATGCAGAACCTCTGGTTTTGATTTGGTTCTACCCACTCCGGCCTTGGCTTAGTTTGCTTAGAAATACATGGGCAAGCCAGTGGTTTAGATTGGTTTCAGTGCATGTACCAGGGATGTCTATTTTTGCAAAAGGACACCTATGGCATTTGGTATTTCCATCCATGTCTGTGTTTGCTGGTTCGTTTGTCCAGCTCACCCGGGCCGTTTCGTTCCAGGAGGAAGAGGTGGTGAAGGAGAAGACCAGCAAGGCCTTGGAGCCGACGGATTTCTGTGACGATCCGCGCACGTTTGTTCCACTCCTTAAGTAATGACATTATCTAAGTAATATTATGTGTATTTCGCACCCAACATAGACCGATTGGGACAAACTGACATTTGCATTTTTGTCTGTTTGTTGTTTGTTTCAGGGACCTGTGTGTCTGTGTGTGTGTGTGTGCGCTTTTGTGTGTGTAAGTGTTTGTGGGCTTGTGTGTTTGTGTGTTTGTGTGCTTGTGTGTTTGTGTGTTTGTGTGTTTGTGTGTTTGTGTGTTTGTGTGTTTGTGTGTGTGTGTGTGTGTGTGGTTGTGTGTTTGTGTGGGTGAGTGAGTGTGGCCGGGTGGTTAAAAGCTTTGTGTTTGCATTCGTGTTTGGCGTTTTTGGTGGTTGTTTCAGTATATGTGTGTGTATTTGTGCTTGTGGTGCTATCTGTTTCTTTTCTTTTGTTTCTTCTTTTTTTTCCGTTTTGCTTGCTTGTTCCGATTCGGGTAGAGAACATCAAGTAGCAAGTTGGTGGCCAGCTGCCTTCAAAGGGCTGTTGCGATTCCACGGTTTTGCTGCTTGAAGGGTCTCAGGACGAAGCTGAGCGCTGGATGCCCCTGCCGTGCCGATTGCCAGGGGAACATTCGGGAGCTCCCGAATTTTTGCTGTGCTTTACCATACTGTGGATGGACAAACCCCGTTCGCACCAGTTTGAAATCAGGAGAACCCATTTTTTGTTGATATTTGCAGGGGAATCGTATCCTTCCAGGGATTCTGAGGTGGTGCCTAAGAGGATTTCGTCCAGCCACAGTTTGAAGGGAAGCCCAGAAGAAATCAAGCACTTGGGGCCTCAAGTCCAAATCATTGAGAACGGCCGAGTGCTTCACAGGAGCAGCTGGCATTCTTCCTCAACAAGCTGAAGAAGACGTACAAGGAGCAGCTGAAACGGCCGAGTGCGGAATGCCCTGCTCTCATGGATTCCTATTAGTTGCAAGTGGATGCTTTTTTTTCTTTTCTTTTTTCTTTTTCTGAAGGAACCCCCAAGATAAGTGGCTTACCTTTGGGTTACCTTTGGTTTGCTTTTGGTTTGCCTTTGACCCCCCCAACAAAATATGCACCGAGCCACCAACACACAGACCCAAGTCAGTCCCAATTCAAGGCCCAACTTGAGACACAATTCAATAGCCAGGAGCTCGAAAGCTGCTGGGATCAATAGCCGCGCTGTTGGTTACATTTTGTTTAAGCGGTTCCCCCCCCAAAAAAAAGAAGAAGACATATATGCGTCATTTTGGCAAGTGGAAACCAACCGCAAGATGAAGTTTGTTTGTTTCAGAGAAATGGCAGGTGGGAACAAAGCATGTTATTTGGCAACTTGGGAACCAACAAGCAGATGCTTTAATGTGGAAAGTTGGGCGCGTGCGGGCTAACCCAGCAAGTGGAAACCAGCCAACATGCGGAAAGCCGTGCAGTTCTGCAAGTGGGAACCGACCAACATATCTTCATTTGGCAAAGGGGGCCCAACCATGTAATTCAGCAAGCGGGCGCCAATCAACTTATTGTGTTGCTTATTCAGCAAGTTGGATCCATTCTATTCGGCCAGTGGGATCCAACAATAATTTTGAACCAACTATTCACTTTCCGCTGACTTGCAAACAGTGATGGAGATGCGCATGTTTGCGAAGAGTCTTAGGCCCTAAGTACTCGTCCACCGTCCAGGAAAGCTACGATCAGCGGGTGAGTTAGGTTTCAAGATACCCCCCCTCCCCATGCAAGGCCTTTGGGCCTGCAGCAGGAACTACAGGGAATCTGTCGCTTGTTGGGGCCACTTTGCTCCGAACTGTCAGCAGGAAATGCGTAGGCCCCGAATGCTTGGAGCAGCTGCAGTCGACCGCTTTACATCCATTGGGCGCTGTAAAAACCTCACGCCTGGAAAGTGCGACGAGGCTGCTCCACCAATTCACTTGGAAGCGTGCTGACTGGGGGCTTCGGGGCTTGCGGTCTTGGAGAGCGGCTGTTGTTGATGAGTCAAAGAAGTTTAAGAACAAACCATGTCTGCAATATGGATATGACTCGCCTTTTTTTTCATTGCGGCCCTTCCTTTTCATGGCGTTTCTCTTGAACACCGTATTTCGGGGAGCCCCCGATGCGGAGGAAAAAAAACAACAAACAAACATATTTTGGGACAGGAAGCCTCTGGCCGTGGCCAGGACAGCAATCCCGAGGGCTTGAAGACCTGCGTTACCACGCTGAAAGCCTACATCAAGAACTTGCATGAGAATCCTTTAGATGCTTGGCAGGGCAATGTCTTTGGGTCAATTGGTTCTTATTGGTGGCTGGCTCTTCGCTCTTCGATGTTGATGCATGCAGTTTTGGTGGTTCCTCAAATCGGTGTCCGTTTTGAGAAGCTCCCTGTGGTCGTTACTGGGGGGTTCACCAACCGCTGAATGTGGTTTCGTGCAACGCGGCACAAGCCGGGAGTTCGAGGAATCGGTGCCTCCCAGGAGCCCTTGGTTCCATCTTTGGGAGGGTGATATTGACCCCATAGAAGAAACCAACCCCTGTTTGTTAAGGGGGTGTCCCTGGGTGTGGGGAAGCAGACCACTTTTGGAGGGGATGTTCCCCCCTATTATGAACCTGGGGTTGATAAATATGGGGTCAACATTCACCAACACCAAGCTTCACATTCTTTGTGCCGGCTGGCTCCAGCTAAGCTTTTCTGCCAAGAGGAGCTGAGTGCAACAAGTGGCAGCAGCGCTGCTGTTGCTGACGGGCTTCCCCGCTTCCAGAGCTGTCGTTCTCCAGGCTTCTGGCACGCCATGAGTTGAGCTCTTAAAATCCAGCCGAGAACCAGCCCCCTGTGTAGGTTTGCTTTCACAAAGCTTCTCTGACCCTAGGGGTTGCCCCCAAGGGATTTCATTCCAGGGCACCAAAGCCTTTTGAGGTCCCTTTTCAAGTGCTCCACAGGATTCGAACTGCGCACTTCCCACTTCTTATAAAGGTCCAAATGGGTTGATTTGATGTTCAAGGATCCCGCATTCCTTTTTTTACAAAGGTCCCCAGGGGTTGTTTTTTAAGGATCCGTTGGTTGATTCTGAAGCCAAACGCGTTTTCCCACATGGTCCATCCGCCAGTCCTTCGCTTGACTTCGGCTTCGGTTTTCGGTTTTTGGTTTTCTCGAGCTGAGGAAGCAAAGTACAAGAAGTTGAAGTTGGACAACAAGGCCTGTGGCAGGAAGAGTTGCTAGGTCCCCCAGTAGTGCCCTTTTACCCTTTTTTGGGAGGGTTCCCCTACCAAACTAGACGACAGAAAAAAGGGTACCCTTATTCTAATCTCTCTACTGGAGGACCTAGCTGTTCTCGTTTTCACATTTGTTCTGTCTAGTGCTGGTTCGGCAAAGAGCTGACCTGGAAAGCCAGAGAGCAGATGTCGGCCTGGGGGAGGACCCAAAAGGGGTCAGTGCAAGACAGGCTTCGCTAGAGGTCCCATAGGTGTCCTTTTTGGTTGGTTTGGTAGAACATGGATGGCGATTTTTGGTTGACCTGTGGATCCTTAAGGGGGTGTACGGGGGGCGGGGCCATTATCCCTTATTGACCCCTGCGTAAGGCCCTATTAAGGGCTTATCCTTGGCTTATCCTAGGCTTATCCACGATAGCCCAGCGGGTCCATGAATAATATACCAGGGAAATCCATTTGTTTCAACCAACAGCACATGGTAAGTTTCCTTGTGGCTTGGATTCGCTGTCCGTTGGACATGTTTCAGGCCATTTGTGACTAAGGATTCAACCCTGCTTGAAGGTGACATATGTTGTTTGTGAGAGCACCCTTGTTTGAGCTGGTTTAGAGGGAAACCAAGAGGAACCCGTCCTCAGTCAGACGTGGTTAGAAAGTCATCAACCTGGGATTTCAGACAAAGGGAGTCATGACCTCTGAGACCTCCAGCGCTTAGCTCCAAGAATCAGTTCTCCCCTCAACACTGGGACCGGCGCCCGGCTTGGCGTGAGAGCTCCGCAGGCCTTCCAGAGCAGAGTAGCCCCATTTGAGGGAGCTCTAGACCTTCGGCTGCACTGCACCGCGGGGGGGGGGGGGGCGTCCGGGCCTGTATAGCGGACAAGGGGAATCCGACTGCTTAGCACAAAGCAAAGCAGTGCGATGGACTCAGAAGGCGGCGCAATGTGAGCTTTGAACCACAGGGACATGTAATTTGCTCCCCCCTTGGTGCTAACCAGCACTAACTCCCACTAGCATGGCCCTATTTGGTACTGAGTTTCATTGGCTGGGTGTGAAACGAATCAGATTCTTTTTGGGTGATGGGTTTCAAACTCCCAGGCTTGCGGTAAAACTACCTCAAGGGCTGAGTTGTATGGGCTCCTAAAAAGTAGTGACTCGCCAGCATCCCAAACAACAATCAGTATGTCATCGTGGGCATTACTTGGACCAAGGTTTGGCTAGGTGGGGTCTCAAAATTATGGGACATGCGGTTGGTCTCCATCTGAGTTTCTCTTTGATACCGGCAAACGCCTCCCCCCAAAAAAAACAAAACAAAAAACACAAACAAACGACAACAATCGACACACCCAGCTTTGCTTGGAACCCTCTTATGGATGTTCTGGGCTTTGGACACTCGCCGGGATTCAGGGAGTCTAAGCAACCTCCAGTTCTCCAACGGGTGCCCCATGAAATTCGATTCCGTTTGGCCTCCAATTTCGGGGCCAGTGGGTCCCTAACTTTTGGATGAACATGGCAGAGGGTGTGTCCTTTTTAGACCACAAAATGGCTTCGGGCTTCGTTTTGGATTCCCTTTCAATCCACCAAAGAAAAAGATACCCTCAAAAAAGACGAGCCACCCATGTATTCATGCGAGTCCATTTGAACTAATGTTGCCCCCATATTAATCAAGCCCAGTCTATTAATAGAGGGGTTCCCCCTCCAAAAGTGATTCCCCACTAAACCCAGGGAAAAGCACCCCCCCCCTATTCATAAACTGGGGTTGATGAATCTTGGTGGCTCCCAGCCATCCCCTGAGCTTTTTAGACTTGTGGTAGTTTCCGAATTTAAACCACTGAAAGGGAGTCACTTTTAGCGGGGGAGCAGAAAACGGGCAGCCCACATTCACAGGATGAAAATCGGGGAGGGTCGCTTCGACTCAGGATGTCCTAGATGTCTTGGGCTTCGAGAAGAAGGAGGATGTGTTTATATAATATATATATATATATACATGTATACATATATTCCGGCATGTAAACGGTTTCGTTTTTGGGGGAGTGAGTCCGGCAGCAAGCTGAAGATCCAAACATGAGGAGCCGCCCACTGGGTTTCTCAAGATGGACGTTTTGATTCCGGTGGCCTTTGGGGAGCCCAAGAGCTGAAATAGCTGGTCTCAGGAACTGTGTGCTTCTATTGGTCCAGCAGCTAGGTGCCCATTTGTGTGTCTAGCCGACCTTTTGACCGTTTGGTTTTCCCTTTGTTGGTCCAACTTTGTAGACTACATCCCCCAGTAGTGCCCTTCTCCCGTTTCTTTTTTGGGAGATTCGGTTCCCCTACTAAAATCGACTACAGAAGACTAGTCTAAGCTCTCTACTGGAGGACCTAGAAGCTGAAGTTCAATACATGAGGCTTGGGGTAAGAAGGCTCCTTCTTACTTTGCTGGAAACTCACAGGAGTTTGTTTTGGTCAGTCATGGCCAGTCAGCTTTCACCAGATTTGGGAACGGACCATGTGCTTTTTGCATGGTATCAATGACTGAGCCTGGTCTTTCTCCCTGGACGCTGTGGGGTCGTGCCCTGACCCCGGTAAGACGACTTCCGGTAACCCTTAGTTGATGGTTTGGATTGGTTTGGACGGATTTGAACAGCTGGATGTGGAGGGAAAGTGGGAAACCATCGAGCCACAATCAAAACCCGGGTAGATGAAGGTTAGTAAGGGACGATCCCACCCATAAATAGCTGCGGCCGCCTTCTTAATCCTGTACATGATTCTGGGTAGACCATTTTAGCACCAGGTTTTGATTGCGACTCAAGAATTGGAGAAAAGTGGATGACTTGCCTGTTGAAGAGGTCTTTGCATCAAGCCAGACCTGGTTCTGTAGTATCCCCACTTGTCCGAGGCCGACCTTTTGACCGTTTGGCTTTCCCATGTTGGTCCATGGTTGGTCATGACCGTAAAAGGTTGAGTATTTGCAGCCCACGAAAAGAGCAAGATCCGGAGCTTCGGTGGTGAATCCAACGGAGCCCAGCCGTACATTGAACGTCTGATTTGGGCACAGCCAGGTTCGCATTCCCATGCATTCGATCGATAAAGACATGGAACTCACCAGAATGAACGACCCTTACCAGGCTTTTGTTTGGTCTGAAATCAACATCTTGGGGGGAGGGGGGGAGAGTACCTGAGTTCTGCGGATGGGAAGTTGTAGGAGAGTACTACGAAGTTTGGCTCATCATCCCAGACTTATGGGTAATGTGGAAATGCAAAACGACAAACAGCTCAAGCTGAGATTCCGCTGAACACGGGCTTGAGGGCAATTTGCAGTGGAGTATATCCTGAGTTACACGTCAAGGTCCAAGAATTAGGGCTGTGTCTTTCGTTCAGGGGACCTTTCCAGAATGGTGGTTTGCTTTTGGGTTCCTTTAAGCCACACAGAAAGGGAGTACCCTAGAAAGACGCTAACATCAATGCCGGTTTGAGTTGACTGGAGCTCCGGTCCCCATGTTTCAGGGGCACCTGGGATGGAACGCCTGCACTGACTGGTGCTGGAAGTTGTCCATGAAACAGACGGGTTGCTTCCAATATGTGGCTTTGAAATTTGAAGCAGAAGACCTTCTGGACGACTTTTGGAGTCATCGTTTCCCTTCGGGGTGATCTCAGTTGTTCAGTGGCACCCTTTTTCCCTTTATTGTGGTGGCTGCCCCACTAAAACTGGTCTTCCCCAAAAAGGGTTCCCGTTTTTTCCAGGGTCACTGAACAACCGAGTTCCTATGCTTCCCCTAAAACTCGAAGTAGAAGAACTTCCGGACCACTTTGGAGCCTTCGTTTCCTTTGTGGGGTGATAGTAGAGGGAAAAAGAAAAGAGTCTGCATGTGAGAAAGAAGCTCTGCTAGGACTTCCGTTTTTTCTTCCTTCCAGGGTCACTGAACTGAGTGATGTACGGGATGAAAAAGAAACGAGTCAGCATGTGAGAAGCTCTAGGACTGTCTGGAGCAAAGAAAATCCACTCCGGACGGCTTCCTCTGCGGCCATGGGCCTCAGTTGATTTGCTGCTTTGATCCCCCGTCTTTGGTTCAGGGAGCCCCCCCCCCCCAAGCAAAAGAAACGTCTTGGAGCCCCCCCCCCCCCCAAAAAAAAAAAACAAATGCAAACAACAAATAGGCGTCGGTGGCTGCAACCAGAAAAATGGTACCCTTACCCCCCTCCCCAAAATGGATGTCGGTGTTCCTTTGGTTTGACTGTAACCACAAAAAAGGGGCTACCCTTTTACAAAAAAGCAGAGCCACTGGGTTTCTGAAGATGGACGTTTTGAAGACCGGAGGCCTTTCGGGAGCCAAAGATCCAGGTCTGAAATGGCAGGTCTCCTGTGTGTTTCTAGGTCCCCCAGCTTAGTGCCCTTCTCTCCCCTTTTTTGGTTGGGAGATTCGGTTCCCCCACTAAAATAGAGTACAGAAAAAGCGTACCCTTATTCCAACCTCTCTACTAGACAACCTAGGTTTTAGAATATGCCAAGGGGCATAGTACATGTGCCAAAACGGCCGTGCTTCATGATGGTCCCCTTTTAGAATGAACAGCCATCACGTGGGGTATCACACACGGGTGTGACTTGCTTGAGGGTACCCCTTCTGGTGGTGTTAAAAGGAAACCACACTGAACACCACTCGTGTTTGGGAGTCCCCTATTACACCCCACACACACACAAGCCGTTGACCCAAGAAATCGCTTTCTCGCCCGCGAGGTCAGGCGATCAAGTGGATCGATCTCATCTTGGCCCAGCTGTGAGAGGGGCGGGTGGGCTGCTGCTTCAGGATCTTTGACCAAAGACACATCCCCAAGAAGAGATGTGCAGGCGGGACGTCCATCGAAAAAAGGGGCCTGGCCAAATATGGGTGTGTCTTGCGTTGAGAGATGCCTGTTTGGTTGGTTTTAAAGGGAAGCCCAAAGGAACCAGCCGTTTTGGGGTCCCCTTGAAAAGGACACACCCATATTACATGGTTGGGGATGGGCAAGATGAGGATGAAGCACTATTCCCTGCGCATAAAGGGAAAGTGGGGCAAATCTAGTGTCAGCTGGGGTTATTGATATATTGGCTCCTACATCTGTTTCAGCGGCGACCTGACGCAAGCTGCACATCGTCTCATCGTCTCACTCCCGTGCCAAGGTGAAATGCGCCTGGCGTCTGCGAATCCAACGAAGAGTCCGTTCCCAGTCATACCCTTTCACTTTTTGGCGGGTTTAGAAGGATTTTTTGGTGTGTTTGAGAATAGAGGCTCCCCTTTGGGATGGCTTTAAAGGGGAACCAAAAGGAACCGACCACCTGGATGGGGTCCTGAGTTTTGAGAACCACCAGTTCTGATACATCCCAGTAAAACAGCCTTTTAGCAAACGAATCCCATGAACCACCAAGTCGGAAGAATCATTGCAGCGATGTTTGACCATGTTTGAGGGGATGGCTTTCTCTGTGCCAAGGAAGCTCACTTTTTGAAGAGGTCTCTTGTGTCACATCATCATATTCCAAGCGGGAGATTACATTGGTGCTTTCTTTGTGTGAACAGCGGGCAAGTGGGTGCAGAAACAAACAACTCACCATGTTTGCTTAAGAATATTTGTATTTTCCCTTGTTGGTTTTAAAAGGAATTTATCGCTACGGGACATGTTTTTTCCAGGGGTCTTGACCAAATGGAAGCATTTTGAACTGCCCCTTATTCATTTTAGGGTCTCAGAACGGTGGTGCGAAAAGGATTTCGCCTATCCACAGTATTTCACAATCAGTCACTGAACACCAGGAGCGCGCAGAGCGCCCGGGGCACGTGCTTGCCCTGCGCAGGGATTGAACAGCCCGGGGGGCCGTAGGGGGCAAAGGACCAAGAAACAACGTGGGGTGCTCGTTCTTTCTTTTTCTTCTTCTTTTTTTTTGCGGTACCTTCTTTTTGGGGTTTTGATGGCAAACCGAAAGGAACATCACGATTTTTGTTGCGGGGTCCAAACAAGCTAAGCGTGCTGGCAGTTGCTTCCACCTTGCAGATAGATCTGAAGCTGATCCTGAGAAGAAACTTGTGACTGTTGAGTCCACAGGGGCGACCATCCTCCAGAGCCCACATTATGACGCAACGGGAGACATCAAGAGAAAGGTCCTCTGCATGACTCCAAGTGTTCATGTTACTTGTAGCTTTTCTTCTTATTGTTTTGTTGGGGGGGGGGGGGGCACACTTATGGAGCTGGCATTGAGACAACTGGCAGTTGTCTCAAGATTGGGGCGCCCTCCAAATGTTTGCTTTCCCTTTGCTTTAGATCAACCATATCAACCTGAAAAAGGGTACCAAGAAAGGACACCCAGGAAAGGTCCTGCCCTTGCAGTGCCGATGGCGCAAAAGACCCGGTGGAAAGAGCAGATGGCGGAGCAAAAGCGTGCAGCTGCAGAAACTTGGCTTCATGAAAACAAAGAAGTTGTTGCTATGTGTTTGAGTTGATTGTTTTGGTTGGTTCTCTTTCCTTGGTGGCTCCCGGCCATCCCCTTAGCTTTTTAGACTTTTATTGTTTAGTGGTAGTTTCCATTTAACCCACTAAAAGTTAAACTTTTTGCGGGGGATCTGAGGGCAGCCCAGTTTCTACGTACGCTGTACTTCTCCGTCTACGCATTTGCGTTTTAGTTGTATGCTTGTGTTGGTTCTGTTCCAGGGAAGAGGGCCACTACGGTCCGCATTCATGCAGGTATCCCTGAATTGGTGGTTTGGATTGGTGGTTTGGCCCTGGTTCTGGTGGAGGGTAACTGGGAAACTACCCTTTAACCAGCAAGCCACCAATCTAAAGCACCACCTAGAGGGAAGCTGATTCAAGTTGTTCGGCAGCCGGGCCATTCAGGGGATGGATAGACATATGAGAAGGGTGGCTCGGCTTTATTTGGCGAACCTCATGTTTTGAGGGGAAACCAAGACGAAAACCATCACTTTGGGGCGGTTTTTCTAAGAAAGACACCCCCAGAACTTAGCTTTCCCAGTGCATGGCGCCCAGGAGCCCGGGAGGGCTGGAAAAAATCGGCGGACTTTTGGTGTTGGTTTCCTCACCAACATGGCGGTGGCTTCTGATTCTGAACCCGATTAGCAAACCTGTCCAAAAAACAGCAGGTCTGGAAGAGAGCAGCTGAAGATCATGGAAATCCCCTTAAAGCATGGCTTGCTGTTCCAAATTCAGTTCACACCCCGAGGTTTATGGAAGGTCAACTCACACCACCTCAATCCAAGACACCTAGCCCGATTGCGGGTCCATTCAAGTGACATCCTCAACAAACCCTCAAAGATATCCACTCAGGACCCATGGTTCTCCTTTTCTGGGGAATCATGGGGAAGTCAGGGCGATGGTTTTCCTGCATGGGTCCTAGTACAAGAGAGGGGGAGCCGTCTCGGGGTCTCGGGGTTTCTCCGCGCACGACCAACCATGGTTACAGGAGCCTAGCAATTAATTCTGCGCTCGGCCTTGTTTGCATGGTTGTTGTTGGGAAACATTTCACATTTTTGCTTATTGTGGTTTAGTGGTTGAAATCCCCACTTAACTGCTAAAATTTAGTTTTTGCTCCCTTCGAACGTCAACCAAGTTCGGGAGATACTGACCATGGAGTTACCAAGCACTGATCTAACTGCTAGCTAAATGGAGTCACAGCTCCTAAGCCATTAAGCCATGGAGTTACTGACCACTTAGCTAGCTCCTAGCAATGCCTAAACAGCCTAAACAATCTAAGAAAACTACTCGCTTTGCAATAAGGGGGAGGGGGTCAAACTGACGTAATGGGGGGGTCCAAAAGAAAAGAATGGGTGGGTCAAAAAAAAGGAGGGGGGGTCAAAGAAAAAGGAATGGGGGGTCCGAACAAACAAAAATGGGGGTCAAAAAAGCAGGAATGGGGGGGTTAACAAAAAGGAATGGAGGGGGGTCCGCAAAAAAAGTGGGGCCCTTGCTCGACCTGAGTTGGTCCTTTCGGAAATGGAACTCTCCGATTGGGTCAGTGCCCCTGCCAGTGGCGCTTGCCAGGTGCAAAGGAGACGAAGATCGAGTCAGGGTGGGAGGCCCCAGAGCTGGCTCTTCGGGCGTAAAAAACGCCCACTCAGAGCGGTGCCCCTGGAAATGGGAAAAGCCCAAAGCAGGGTTGTGGGATCAAGGGGCTTCTGTGATACAAGTTGGAATCCCCCTTATGAGGAAAGTAGTGTAGAAGCCAGCCCCAGAGCCCCAGTGGATCCCAGCTGCACTCATAGTTCTCTGGGTACCTTCCATTTCCATTCCGAACCCAGGGATCCGGATCTTTCTAGAACCCCTCCAGAAACCCGATCGGGAAAACGGGATCGGTTTTTGAAGGAACGATGCTGGAAAAGAATGGGGAATCAAGCATTAGAATAGTGTGTAACCAGCAATTGTCCTTTTGGGTTTAACGGGTGGCAAACCCTTGGTTAGCTACGATGCACGGAAATGGATGGAGTGAGAGCTACAGGAATTGTTAGCAGGGTATTGGCGAACCCACCAAAGCAAAGCTTAAAGGTAGATTGCTTGCTGGTGTCTTTGACCCTTAGACCAAAAGGATTCCAGTCGTTGTTGTTGTTTTTCAAGAGAAGCAAATGGGTGATTTCCGTATTTCCCTCAGCCGAGCTTACCTTTGATGAAAGTCCCTTACTCGGGGATTGTGATTATTTCTAAGTAAATGAACTTACCTTGCAACTCCCTGGTTTCCTTTTGTTTTTTTCTCCAAAAAGGGGCGCCCCGTTGCTCTCACATACAACCCGGAACCAGCAGGAAAAGGGGGAGGACCCAATCAAGTTCCATGTTTGTGGATAGGAGGCGCCCTTTTGGGACATGGGCCCTCCTCTTTGGGTTCCTTCTGTGAATTCGGGTAAGTGGCTAGGGTATGAATTCCACCTATATAGTCCCTCTTTTGCAGGATTCTCCACAGTTTGGTAAATCAGGGCTCCCGATGTTTTCCCCTTACACATCACCGAAAAGGAAGCTCGCCTGAAATTGGCAACATCACCTTGGATTCCTTGAAATCAATAGAGGACCACCTTGGGTGAGGTTTAAAAAACCCGAGGGGCACCCTAGAACACTTTTTCCAACCCCCCATGAAGCATAGCAACCCCCCCCCCCCCCATCTCTTTTCCCCCCCCCCCCCTCACGTGGTGGTCTACACCTTTTCCTTTTTTCCTTCCCGGAAAGCTCGGCTTGCGCGCCTCACCTTCTCCCAGCTCAGGCCGGAGGGCGAAGCCAAGTTGGGAGCCCCAGGTGACGGGAGGGGAAGAAAGGGAAGCCCAGATGAGCCACTTGCTCAAAGGGAACTTCCGGTAACCCTTAGTTGATGGTTTGGATTGGTTTGGACGGATTTGAGCAGCTGGATGTGGAGGGAAAGTGGGAAACCATCGGGACACAATCAAAACCGATTCGGGTAGATGATCCGGTTAGTAAGGGACGATCCCCTTGCCATAAATAGCTGCGGATGTCCGGCTTCTTAGTTCCTGAAGCATGGTTCTGGGTCGACCATTTGTGTACCAGGTTTTGATTGCGGCTCAGATGAATCAAACTCAGATTATTGATCAGTGCTCCTTAAAAGGTACATGTTGCAACCATTTGAAACATGTGGCTTTTTCAACACCCAAGTAAAGGGAAACCACCATTTACAAGGCAATGTTCAGGTGCAGGCAGAGGTGTTTTTTCTTTTTGTGGGCCCAAGGAGCTTTGACCATGGCATATGGGCGACCGTTTGTGCTTTTGCAGGGACCGTCCCCTCCCCCCCCCCCCCAAAACAAAAAAGCACCACAAAAGCATCAGTTGTCCAAAACCACCAAAAACTGGATACTCTCCAACAAAAGCCACCTGTCTATGT